ATCACTGTAAGCCGCTTTGGAACAATTTACATTGTTAAAAGCGCTATATACTGTAAATGAAGATGACTTGACTTGACTTGACCTAGGAGGGCTTCAGGGTGAGTAAATCATGGGCTAATTTTCATTTTTAGGTGAACTATCCATTTAAGCTGGACTATGACACTATTTTCTTCTAGATCTGCTGTACAGTCAAAACAAACTTTGTTGCATTAATTTCCTGTTATTACTGTAAAGCTGCTTTGAAACAATATTGTAAAAAGGGCTATATAAATAAAAGTGACGACTTGACTTGACGATGATGTTCCACAGAAATAAAGAAAGTCATGCATTTTGGAATGACATGAAAGAGCGTAAATTATGACAGAATTTTCATTTGGGTTAGTAAGCTTAAGTGGTTGTTCTGGTAATTTAAAATAAAATGCTTTAAAAATATATATTAAAAAAAATATAAATGTAGAGCGGCAAGCATTAGTTTGAACCCTTTGAAAATATCTGGATTTCTGCTGCATTTGGTTACTATATATAATATGTTATTATACCAAACCATATTATATAATATGGTTTGATCTTCATCTAAAGCTGGGTTCACACTCTACGGTTTTGGCCATGATTTGTCCGTCTGAGAATTGCTGAAATTGATGATACATGAAAGAAGCTCTTTCAGAAGTATTTTCTTACATTAATGCACCACTAGATGGCCCTCAAGTTTCTTTATTTAGTGATTAGTGTGAAGTAAGAAGAGGGAAGCTGTAGGAGGAGAGAGAATGCTGAGCATGTGGGTGCATGTAACCATGCTTGTTCAGGAGAGTTAATAAAGTTTCCTAAGTATGATGTCCACAAATAGAGGTTGGATAGTACCATATCACATCTGAGTTTATTGAGACACAGACAAACAAAGCGCTAATATACAAAATATTACTACTGTTTCCATACGGTTGATCCGCTGAGCTTCCCCCCAGTTTCCCAGTCGCAACTCTGACTTGAGGGGGTGTCCCAGTTAAAAGTTTCTACTGGGAACTAGGTATCTGAGGACAAATGCAACGCACCATGAAGTATTACGGAGCTAAACCATTTAGTGCTTTGTAAGTAATCAGCAATATTTTAAAATGTATAAGATGTTTAATAGTGAGCCAATGCAGTGTTGACAGAACCGGGCTAATATGGTCATACTTCCTGGTTCTGGTAAGAACTCTAGCTGCTGCGTTTTGGACCAGCTGTAATTTGTTTATTAAGCGTGCAGGGCAACCACCCAATATAGCATTACAATAATCTAGCCTTGATGTCATGAACGCATTAACTAATTGTTCCACATTTTTCAATGAGATCGTATGAGGTAATTTAGATATATTTTTAAGATGAAAAATGCGGTTTTACAGATACTATTCACGTGACTTTCAAATGAAAATTTGCTATCAAAGAGCACACCCAGGTTCCTAACCGGATGTGATCATCCTCACAGTTATCCACTGCATCACTGACGCTCATCGATGCATCTATGGAAATAATATAATCATAAACATTTTTACATTAGTACTTAAAATACATCATGAGAATTAATATATGATGGCACACATACTTAAACAGAACAGTGTGTGAGAGAGAGATGCATTAAAAACGAGACAGTATACACACAATCTCTATCCATGTAGGTCAATATCAATATCTGAATGAGAGATGTAACTAGGTGGCCTACAAGCATCGGCAATATCTGTTACTTACAGGAATAATGTTAACTATTGTAAGACTCTAATGTACCATAATATCGTGTAGTTTCATGAATATTCATTCATTCATTCATTCTTTATTTCAGACCCTTAGGTTCATATCACAAAGTAAAAGAAAAATAAGAAATATTAAATATATAGGTGGGCAATGGTAATCATGCAAGATTCGTTGTATTTTGTTCGTTTGTTCATCTGCTCGTTACTGATCTTAAATGTATTTATAGAATGCACTTCACAAATCTAACGTTAGGCTAACAAGCAATGAAGCCTGAATCTGACAACCTGTTCAGCACCTGGAGTGACTTCTTTACGGGAACATCGTAGCCGAACCATTTCTCGGGGTAAGGGTGTCCGTCAGTCGGCCATTGCCTCAGGTGCTCCTCGTCTTTAGGTGGTGGGTGTAAATTGTAAAGTGCACCACAACACTCCGCTTCAAATTATGTTCGTAACACCGTTGGTTCAATTGTTCTCTCCTCTTAATCCAATTGTTATGGCAGCCCCTAACTGAGCATATAATACTTGACATTTAGGTCCCTTTCAGCCGGAAGTAAGATGACAAAAACGAACACAATCGTCACCCTTGTTGTGGTGGAAAATAAGGTGAATACTTAACTAAGAACATTTTGGGAAACACGTATTAACGATAAGGGACAGCTTAAGGTATAACTTTAGGTATAAATTTCCTGATAATTTACTCACCCCAATGCCATCCAAGATGTTCATGTCTTTCTTTCTTCAGTGGAAAAGAAATTAAGTTTTTTGAGGAAAACATTTCACACATGAAAACATTTTTCTCCAAACAATGGACTTCAACGGTAAACAAATTGTTAAAGTCCAAATCAATGCAGTTTCAAAGGGCTTTGGATTGCTTCAAATGGCTCTGCACGATCCCAGCTGAGGAAGAGGGTCATTTTCTATTTTTTTTTTTTTTTAAATGTATATACTTTTTAACCACAGTTGTTCGTCTTGTGCTGGTCTGCAATGTGCCAGGCATTACATAATCACGTTGGAAAGGTCAAGCTGGACGTAGGCGGAAGTACCGCCCCATTGTTTTAAACATCCAGGATACGCACATGAAATGACCATTTTAAACAATAAACTAACACAAAGACATAAATATGTCATTGAACATACAATAAAATTTGAACGATCATCCTTCTCCACGCTTGTAAACAACATACTGGGCCTGAGGATAAAAACCCAACCTCCTTGAATGATCCAAGTTTTTTACAGCCCTGAAATTGACTTGCAACTGGGGTTACACCTACATGGGAATTTGAGCACATTCTGAGGAGTCCTCACTACCTACAGTCTAATTGCCTAGCAGAACATGCAGTGTGATCCACCAAACATCTGCTGGAGATGCTATTGGGAGCATGTTTACATACATGCAGCTTTACTCCATCTTCGTAATCTTATTCAATATAAGCCTGCCATCCCATGCCCAATACTCTCCAGGCTTACAAGAACCTTTATTACTGAGCTGAAGGGCAGGCTTTTGTATGTTTGCAACCAGGTCAGACAGTAAGGATGCAGACAGCTTGGGGTTTTGACCAACTGGCAGTTGTACTTTACTCTTCAATCCAACAGCTATGTGGTTGTCAGGTGTGGCTGTAATGATGCGCACGACAAAGGAGATAAAAACAAAAGAGTCTTTATTTAATAAATCCATAATGGAAAACTCAAGAGATCTCCGGAGAATAAACATAACCACATTAACTAAGAAGTTGACAATACCAGGCAGGGAACAAAGGAAAACTCAGGTCTTAAATACATGTGGGGTAATCAGGGAGAACAGAAACCGGCGCGATGAACTAATTAACAATCTAGGAGACTAACTAGGGAACAAAGGAAAATGGGAACCCAGAAACTAAACGGAAACAGAGGATAGTGGTAACCTCTCAACGAACACGGTACATTCTAATTTGATGTCTCCCTCTCTATGATCAAGACCCACTGAATGTTCAGAAGATGATTATAATCACCTCTTGCCATTTTAACCTGATACTACACCAGCTTCACTTGTATTAGCATCTCAGAGCCAAGTACCTGCCAGTGTTACCACTGCTGCTGCTTATAGTGACTTGCTCGGGGAGAGTGAGCTATCCTAACCTTGCCCGGGTGGGTTAATTATCAGGTGGATTAATTATCCTAACCCACCTGATCAGTACAAATTAAATAGTTTAAAGGTTATCCTTCTTAATGATTCAGTGTTTACATGTCATCCAACACATACCACAATCACTTTATATCCGCCTACAATATCACAACATTTTACCACATGGGGAAATCATGATATCATTTCAGTAATCTACTAATTTATTTATAGTATGTACAGGTGAAATTCACAGTCATAAGAGGTCATTTTAATAAAGGCTAATCGATATAGCTCTGGTGAAGAGAATGCAAAACAAGTATCTCCACAAAACCACACACAGTGAGAGCCATACAGAAGCCCTCAACTAATATAACATTGAGAAAAAGGTGAAAATAAAAAAGGGGTTTAAATTTACTAAGAAATGAGAAAAGATAGTTGGAGACACAGTTAAAAGCATACATTTCCGGTAACACTTTATTTTGATGGTCCCCTTTTGAAACATTCTGTTGACTATAAGGAACTTTGCAGCTACATGTCAACTAACTCTCATTCGAGTATTAGTTGACTCTCTACTTAATACCTGCTAACTCTTTATTGTGTTGGTCCCCCAACAGACATTCTACAAACTTTAATAACTTTGCAAGTACATGTCAACTTATTCTAACCCTAAAGGCTATTCTTGATATACTTGAGGTTATACTTGATATACTTCAAGCGAAATCGAAGAACTGATGTGACGTAATTTCGAACAAAATCCGGCCAAAACGAACTTCGTTTGGAGTTCGAAATGGGAGTTCGAAACAGCTTGACAAAGGTAAACACCTTAATACTACCATTGGTCCATGGCAATAAAAGGTAGGTGTGCACGAAGGCTCCGCCTTCTTTCACGTGGAAATATTTTCCTGTTAATTTCTCCTGTTCCAGTCTGTCGAGGAGATGTGACTCGCGAGTTAAAACATGAACATGCTGGAAAGCTGCTTTATAGTAGAAAATGAAGTTGTACTTCTGACGAAAAGAGACACTGACACTGTTTTTCATGTTTATGGTAAAGCTGCTTAATTTCAAGCAATCTATTGTATAAAGTGCTATAGCCAACTGAATTGCAGAACTCGTGCAAACAATTACCACGTTTTAATGGTCAGATGCTTTTCTCATGCTTTATTAAAAAAATTACTGTTTTCTCAATTTTATTGTGTGTTTATTTTGTTATTGAGAGAGGTAAGCCCGCAGCACATATTTACATATGCATCTAACCGTTGCTCTCAGCAGTGTTGGCGGCGTCAACTAACAGTATATCGCTGCCCACGTATTTTGAACTTCGTTTTAACCCAAAACTAAGAACGAAAAAGAACTTGCTCATGAGTATATCGGGGCCTCAACCCTGTCTACTAATACTCTACTAACACTCTAACGAGAGTTAGTAGACATGTAGCTGCAACGTTACTTATAGTCAACAGAATGTGTTAAAGGGACTATCAAAATAAAGTGAACATTTTCTCATGCACTTTCACAAGACAAAAAGGCTAAGATACACATGGAAGGTTAAGTATCAAGTTTTAGGCTGAGGGACATCTTCCTCTGGTTTTCCTGGGTTAGAAGTAATCTTTAAAGCCATATCCTGTTTGTGTTCTGTTGCCACATCTTGTGTTCTGGTAAAAAAAAAAATGATTTGAATGATTAGGTTGAACTGAATAAACAGAGTATATTGTTATTGCCTATAATAACAGTATAGAACGTCTCGGTTACGGATGTAACCCCCGTTCCCTGAGTAGGGAACGGAGACGTTACGTCGGATGACGGAGAATGGGGGTTTCGCCAGAAAGCCTATCACCTTCGAGTATTAAAAAACGAGCCTATGGCAATGAAATGCCATGGGTCTGCGGAATTTGCATAATGTATCTCCGCCCCACCGCGTGGGTATTTAAGGAGAGACACCTGCAACAGCAGATCATGTCTTCGCTGAGGAGCCGAGACTGAACTCAGGCGTCTACCCAGCGGTACAGCGGAAGTGGCAGGGAGACGTAACGTCTCCGTTCCCTACTCAGGGAACGAGGGTTACATCCGTAACCGAGACGTTCCCTTTCGTAGTCACTCCGAGTTACGTCGGATGACGGAGAATGGGGGTCCCCGTGTAATCACGCCACCTTCACAGCTGTCTTCCAGTGCCCTGCGAAGTCTGACCTCCCTGTCGTGATATAGGCACGGACGAAGGAGTCCTACTTAACACAGGAATACCAAGGTACACTGGGAAGCATATCTCAGGGGAGATATGCCGCAGCATGCCTACCCGTAGGGAGGACTTAAGAATACACATATGGCCCGAGGGGGCTACATATGGAGGAACACTGGAGTGACCAGCCCGTGGGGTGGCATCTACTTTCAACTCCAGGAGTGGCAAGGTGGCTTGCCGAGGGAAAGACACATGCTCAAAGAGGCTTACAGTGGAAATACACATGTGGGGGTTGCTCGGAGGAGGAACCATGCACACGGAGGCACCTAGCCGACGCACAGGCAATAGACACTGGCGGCAGCGTCAACAGTGCTGGAGGAACTCAGGGCTTCAGAGAGGAAGGCTACCTGAGGAAATATCGCACGTATACAGTCCGTGGAGTGGAGTGGCGAGCAAGCGAAGACACCTAACGGTTCACGTGTTAGCTTGAAAAAGACAGTACACAGGAGGAGCTGGCTCCACTCTGAGATTGAAAAATCTGGCGAATGTGTTAGGTGTCGCCCAGCCTGCAGCTCTGCAGATGTCTGTCAGCGAGGCGCCACGCGCTAAAGCCCAAGAGGACGCCACACTCCGGGTGGAGTGGGCGGTCACACCAAGGGGGCATGGTCGACCTTGCTGCTGGTATGCCAAAGCAATGGCGTCCACTATCCAGTGAGACAACCTTTGTTTGGAGAGAGCCTTTCCCTTCAGCTTCCCACCATAACAGACAAAGAGCTGGTCTGAGGTCCTGAAACACTGCGTCCTGTCTACGTAAGCACGGAGTGCGCGTACTGGACAGAGCAGTGCCAAGGCTGGGTCTGCCTCCTCCCGGGGCAGCGCTTGCAGGTTCACCACCTGGTCCCGGAAGGGAGTGGGAACCTTGGGCACATATCCAGGCCGGGGTCTCAGGATCACGTGAGAGTGACCGGGCCCGAACTCCAGGCACGCTTCGTCAACGGAGAATGCGTGCAGGTCCCCTACCCTCTTGATGGAGGCCAACGCAACCAGGAGCGCTGTCTTCATAGACAGGATCTTAAGCTCAGCTGATTGCAGAGGCTCAAAGGGAGCCCTCTGCAGGGCATTTAAGACCACTGAGAGGTCCCAAGAGGGAACGAGAGGAGGGCGAGGAGGATTCAATCTCCTTGCTCCTCTCAGGAACCTGATGATCAGGTCGTGCTTTCCAAGAGACTTACCTTCAACTGCTTCGTGATAAGCGGCGATAGCGGCCACATACACCTTCAGGGTGGAGGGAGACAGCCTACGCTCCAACCCGTCTTGCAGGAAAGAAAGCACGACACTGATCGAGCATCTCCTGGGGTCTTCTCGGCGAGAAGAGCACCAGTTGACGAAGAGGTTCCACTTCAACGCATAGACATGTCTCGTGGACGATGCTCTAGCGGAAATGATGGTAGCCGCCACCGCTGGTGGCAGGGTACTCAAACCTGCCTCGTCCCGTCCAGGAGCCACATGTGGAGTCTCCAAAGATCGGGACGAGGGTGCCATAGGGTGCCCCGTCTCTGAGAAAGGAGGTCCTTCCTCAGAGGAATTGGCCAAGGAGGTGCTGTCGCGAGGAGTATCAGTTCGGAGAACCAGGTCTTGGTGGGCCAGTATGGGGCGACCAAAATGACCTGCTCCTCGTCCTCCTTGATCTTGCACAGAGTACGTGCGAGAAGGCTCACTGGGGGAAACGCATACTTGCGTAGGCCCTGCGGCCAGCTGTGCGCCAGTGCATCCGTGCCGAGCGTGCCCTCGGTCAGGGAGTAATACAGGGCGCAATGGGATGAGTCGTGGGAGGCAAACAGATCTATCTGTGCGTCCCCGAACTGGTCCCATATCAGCTGGACCGACTGGGGATGGAGTCACCATTCGCCAGAGGTTGGCCGGAGCCGTGACAGCTCGTCGGCTGCAAGGTTCCGCTCTCCTGGAATGTAATTAGCACGAAGGGACCTCAGGTGCTTCTGACTCCATAAGAGGAGGTGGCGTGTGAGTTGCGACATACGCGAGAGCGTAGACCAGCCTGACGGTTGATGTACGCTACTGTCACAGTATTGTCCGAACGGACAAGTACGTGTTGACCCAGGAGCAGCGCGTGGAAGCGGTGCAGGGCAAGGCGTACTGCCAGCAACTCGAGGCATTTGACATGCATGAGGCGCTGGGGTCCTGTCCAGGAGCCCGCGGCTGCATGTCCATTGCACATGGCGCCCCAGCCCGTGGCAGAGGCATCTGTGGAGACGACAACATGCCTGGAAACTCGTTCTAGGGGAACTCCGGCCCGTAGAAAGCTGAGGTTCCGCCACGGGGTGAAGGTCTGACGGCAGGTCGGAGTTATTGGAACTCTGAGCGTACCGCGATGCCATGCCCACCTCGGGACCCGATCGCGAAGCCACAGCTGAAGCGGTCTCATATGAAGCAATCCGAGTGGCGTTGCCGCGGCTGCGGATGCCATATGCCCCAGGAGCCTCTGAAAAAGTTTCAGTGGGACCGCACTCTTGCCCTCGAACTGTCGAAGACAAGTCAGCAGTGAGTGTGCGCGCTCGCTCGTAAGCTGCGCGGACATGGCGACCGAGTCTATCTCCATACCGAGAAAAGAGATCCTCTGCACGGGGCAAAGTTTGCTCTTCTCCCAGTTGACCCGAAGGCCCAGACGGGCTAGGTGCCGGAGCACTAGGTCTCTGTGTCAATGAGTGAGAGTCCGCTCATCCACACCCCGATCTATATACGACATGCACGAGGGTAGGGCTGATTCAGGGCTCATCCTTGAGCTGCCTGCCGTCACCGACCTTGCTCTCCGAGCGAGGTAGGTGACCGCACGCTCCCTGAGTCAGGTGATGTCCACATAGGTGGTCAGACACCTCTGGCTAACCTGGTTGATGTGCGCGAGGCTGAGTGATTTCGCAGGAAGGCGCCCCTGCCCGTACCGGTCCCGCAGCCCCGCCAAGGCCAGGCTTGCGGAAGCCTGGCCTTGGCGGGGCTGCGGGACCGGTACGGGCAGGGGCGCCTTCCTGCGACCACCTCCACGGTGCGGCCCGGTGCTGCTGGGGGCCGGGCGGGAGGGGGCGGAAGTCGCAGGAGGGCGCATTCGGCAGCAAGCGGACTGGGGCGTCTGAGCCGGCAGCTGGAGGCAGCAAAGCCGCGGGGTCAGACAAAATAGCCACAGTCCACTTCTGAGAACTGTTGGGCAGAGTCCTCGACCGCGCCGCCGAAGAGGCCAGCCTGGGATATGGGGGAGTTGAGGAAACGAAATCACTCAGCCTCGCGCACATCAATCAGGTTAGCCAGAGGTGTCTGACCACCTATGTGGACATCACCTGACTCAGGGAGCGTGCGGTCACCTACGTCGCTCGGAGAGCAAGGTCGGTGACGGCAGGCAGCTCAAGGATGAGCCCTGAATCAGCCCTACCCTCGTGCATGTCGTTGAACACCCAGGAGGATGGCAATAACACGCAGTGAGGTGGCAGCCTGCCCCGCAGCTCTATAGGTCCCCGCCACCGGAGTAGACAAGAACCTACAGGCATTGGAGGGGTGCTTAAGAGTCGCCACGCCAGGTGGAGGCGCTGTGGGGACACATAAGTGTTGCCACAGAACACTCCACAGGGGGAACCCCAGTGCACCCTAGGCCGCGGCCTCTACAAGGGCAGAGAAGGCGGAAGAGGCCACTGAGCAGTCGCGAAAAGTCAAGGAGACTTCCACGATCTCATGATCTCTTCATGCACGTCCGTGTAGAAAGGATTTGGGTTCGCCACCCCCAAAAACCAATCACCCGGGAAGCATAGCTGTGCACTCTGGATCAAACTCGTTATGCTAGCACATCCAAGGACGGCAGCACAGACGAGCCATCATCTCTAGAGGACTCCAGCTCACCTTGTGATGCGGTGATACATGATTTCATCAGCCGGGGTACCGAATGAGACCGCGGGCCCGCGGGCGGGCCGGCGAACTCACCTGGGACCACGCAGGTTGCAATGTGAAAGACGGGGTGTGGACCGAGGAATTTTTCGTCGGTTTAGTTCCAGACCTGCCGTCTTAGGTCACCCTGGCCACCAGCCGAAGTATTATCTCACGTGGAGAAAAATAGATCGGGGTGTGGATGAGGGGACTCTCACTCATTGAGCTCATCGAGTCTCGACCGTTACATTGCGATGGTCACGTTCCCAGTGAGAGAACGTGACACACCCACGAGCGCTGTCTGAGCGCGATCAAAGCCCAAACACTCAAAACAGCGCTCGCGCCCATCAGCTGAATCTATCAGAATACCACACTCAGAAAAACACGGGCAGATCGTCTTTAGAAAGACGCGTCTTTAAAAAGACGTACCGCGTGCAGCTCTTTAGTGAGAGGAAAAACTCCGCGGATGTTGAAGCGACCAGGGAGAACACACAGACTGGCAGACCACTGCTCAGCTCGCAGGCAATGTGAAACTCGCTGGATACCGCCGTCACACCAACACCGGAGAGTTCGCTCGTCTCGAAGAGATGTAGTCACTGAGAAAACTCAGGATTTGGCTTGTGGAGTGAAGAGATGCTCTTGGCTCCGAAGCGAAAACATGATCTGCTGTTGCAGGTGTCTCTCCTTAAATACCCACGCGGTGGGGCGGAGATACATTATGCAAATTCCGCAGACCCATGGCATTTCATTGCCATAGGCTCGTTTTTTAATACTCGAAGGTGATAGGCTTTCTGGCGAAAACCCCCATTCTCCGTCATCCGACGTAACTCGGAGTGACTACGAAAGGGAACTAAATAGCTTGCCTTTGTTACATAGGCCCCCACACACACACACACACAGAGAGAGAGAGATACACATATAAATACATATATACATGTATGTAGTGTGTATATATATATATATATATATATATATATATATATATGTATACACCCACCCACACACACATACACACACACAGTGTTGATCTTCACTGACATAGTCCACATTATACATGTGTATTATTTGAAACACAAAGTTAATCTGAAGTTAAACCTATGGGGTTAGGATTGTTGGATTATTCCAAATAAATAGATTGAGATTCATAAACAAACGAAAAGAGATACACAAAAATGTATAAAATTCACAAATAAATAGATTAAGATCCACAAATAAATGTAACGAGTTTCACAAAAAATTATAAAATTTACAAATAAATAAAATGAGATTTGCAAATAAAAATATATATTTGTCTGCACATCTACGCTAGAAGTGTTTCAAAATGCACAAATGCGTGAGAGGATTTACAAATGCACAAGAAGAGTTTCACAAATGTGTGCAGTGATTTACAAACGCACAGAAAGCGGTTCACAAATAAATGCCAGGCAGAGTTGTGTTTGTGACATAAAACACATTTGCAAATCTCATTTTATTTATTTGTGAGTTTTATAAATTTTTGTGAAACTCTTTACATTTATTTGTGGATCTTAATCTATTTATTTGTGAATTTGATACATTTTTGTGAATCTCTTTACATATGTTTGTGAATCTCAATATATTTATTTGGAATAATGCAACAATCCTAACCCCATTTAAACCTGCCTCCTGGTAGGTTTAATTTAAGCTTCAATTTATATCAGGAGTAGCTCTAGTCTAGTTACCCTAGTGTGGAACAACTGATTAGTGCAAATTTTTTTTATTTTTTTTTATTCAATGCTCATGTGTGAGCTGAGAGTACAGTGTACTATGCTGATGATTCAATTTTCCTAACCCACACTGCACGCATCCCTTACCATACACATGTGCATATAAAGTACATTGAGCTCATAAATTGTGGTAAATGGAAGCTCAAACACGCTTGCTTGTTAACCATAAGGTTTGTTCTCACATGTCACAAGCAAGTTTAAGCTTCCACAAGAATCAACGAGATTTGTTCTCACATGTCAAGTACAGGTGAGCTTCCTTTTTTCTATACCTCATGTGCTCAATGTAATAAATAATTCATAAAAAAAGAGTATGGTTTTGGTCAACTGTTCTTTTTTTTCATGAGCAAAAATATATTTCCTGACTTTTTAAAGTGATTTAATTTATCCTTGTAGAGTTGATTTTAGAGGTTACTGGGATTAAGGGTTAGGGGTTAGAGGTCATGAATCAAAGGTTATTGAAAAAGTTGACCTGGGCTCAGGAGCAGGTCGGATACTTGGCAGGACATCCCAGCTTGAAGTTAAGCTGTCATGTTATGAGGAGAAACAATCATATCACCAATCACAATCCATCAAAGTAATCACAGACAAACATTATAAAAGAATGTTAATGCTAAAGAAGAAAAGTTTGAGTTGATAAATCCCATCACATAGAGCCTCTTTCACCTAGATATCATCATATAGAGACTGTGTCTGTTCCCCGAATTTGGAAATCCAAAAAACGTCAGGTTAAAAATTTAATTGATGTTCAACAAATAAAAAACAGATATAATACAGATGAGCAAATGATAAAGCTTGGGTTGCTGAATATTCGATCCCTTACTTCAAAATCTCTCATAGTTAATGATATGATTTCAGATTATAATCTAGATGTGCTGTGTTTGACAGAAACCTGGCTAAAACCAAACGATTACATTATTTTAAATGAGTCAACCCCACAAGATTACAGTTATAAACATGAACCTCATCTGAAAGGCAAAGGGGGAGGTGTTGCTGTGATTTATAGTAATATTTTCAAAACCACTAAGAAATCTAGTTTTAAATATACTTCTTTTGAAGTATTGGTGCTTAATGTAAAAATGTATAGTGTAAACGATAAATCACATTTGAGAATTATGCTGGCTACTGTATACAGGCCACCAGGGCACCATAAAGATTTTATCAAAGAATTCGCGGACTTTCTATCAGAATTAGTATTGGCTGCAGATAAAGTACTAATTGTTGGTGATTTTAATATGCATGTAGATAATGAAAAAGATGCATTGGGATTGGCATTTAAAGACATTGTAAACTCAATTGGAGTTAGACAACACGTGTCAGGACCTACTCATTGTCGTAATCATACTCTAGATCTAATATTATCACATGGAATAGATGTTGATGCCGTTGAAATTCTGCAGCAGAGCGATGACATCTCAGATCATTATCTCTCATGTAAATTACATTTAGCCAAGGCTGCAAAGCGGACTCCGTGTTATAAATATGTTAGACCTATAACTTCTGCCACTAAAGATTGCTTTATCAATAATCTTCCTAATCAGTTTCATCATCTCAGCATCCCGGATAGCTTAGAAGAACTTGATATTGCAACAGAAACTTTTAACTCTCTCTTTTCCAGCACTTTAGACGCAGTTGCTCCGTTGCGCTTAAAGAAGATTAAAGAAAATAGTCCAACGCCGTGGTACAACGAGCACACTCAGGCCCTTAAGAGAGCAGCCAGAAAAATGGAGCGCAACTGGAAGAAAACTAAACTAGAGGTATTTCGGATTTCATGGAAAGAGAGCTCGATTGCTTACAGAGAGGCTTTAAAAGCTGCTAGATCTGCTTATTTTTCAACCCTATTAGAAGAAAATAAACATAATCCAAGGTATTTATTTGAAACAGTGGCTAAACTAACGAAAAAGAAAGCTTCAAGCTCAGAAGTGTCCAAGCAACACAGCAGTGATGACTTTATGAACTTGTTTACTTATAAGATTGATAATATCAGGGACAAAATTATAACTATGCAACCGTCTACAGAATATCGCATCAGTATCGCAGTCAGGGAGTGCATTGTAGTCTCCCTGAGGAAAAATTTGATTCATTTGTTGCTATAGGAGAGGAAGAATTCTGCAAACTCGTTAATTCATCTAAATCAACAACTTGTATGTTAGATCCTATACCGACTAAGCTACTGAAAGAGATGATTCCAGAGGTCATATATCCTCTTCTTACGGAGCCCCCCTAGTCCCACTTTGTCAAAAAAAATTATTATAACTATCTCGTGGCCTCAAGATAAGTAACTCGTGGCCTCAAGATACTATCTCGTGGCCTCAAGATAGTAACTCGTGGCCTCAAGATAAGTAACTCGTGGCCTCAAGATAGTATCTCGTGGCCTCAAGATAGTAACTCGTGGCCTCAAGATATTAACTCGTGGCCTCAAGATAGTATCTCGTGGCCTCAAGATAGTATCTCGTGGCCTCAAGATACTATCTTGAGGCCACGAGATACTATCTTGACGCCACGAGATACTATCTTGAGGCCACGAGATAGTATATTGAGGCCACGAGATAGTATCTTGAGGCCACGAGTTACTTATCTTGAGGCCACGAGATAGTTAAAATAATTTTTTTTGACAAAGTGGGACTAGAGGGGCTCCGTATCTTCTTAATATCATTAATTCATCTTTGTCTCTAGGATACGTACCAAAAACCTTTAAACTGGCTATGATAAAACCGCTTGTTAAAAAACCACAACTTGATCCTACAGAATTAGTCAATTCCAGGCCGATCTCGAAACTGCCTTTTCTGTCAAAGATATTAGAAAAAGCAGTATCCTCACAACTGTGTTCCTTTCTAGAAAGAAATGATATCTGCGAGGATTTTCAGTCCGGATTTAGACCGTACCATAGCACTGAGACTGCTCTCATTAGAGTCACAAATGATTTGCTCCTATCATCCTTTCGTGGTTGTATCTCTCTATTAGTGTTACTCGATCTTAGTGCTGCATTTGACACAATTGACCACAACATTCTTTTAAATAGACTAGAAAACTATGTTGGCATTAGTGGAATTGCACTTGCATGGTTTAAATCATACTTAACTGACCGTTATCAGTTTGTAGCAGTAAATGAAGAGATGTCTTATCGATCACAAGTTCAGTATGGCGTACCACAAGGCTCAGTATTAGGACCGTTGCTGTTCACTCTGTACATGCTACCATTAGGAGATATCATTAGGAAACATGGAGTTAGTTTTCACTGTTATGCCGATGATACTTAGCTGTATATTTCTTCAAAACCTAACGAAACTTACCAATTCACAAAATTAACGGAATGCATAGCTGATATAAAAAATTGGATGACTAGTAATTTTCTACTACTGAATTCTAGACTTGTAGTCGAGACCGCCTAAACCGAGACCAAGACACTACCAAGACCAGATGGTATCGAGACCAAGACAAGACCAAGACCAAGACCAAGACCAAGACAGACCAAGTCGAGACCAAGACCAAGTCGAGACTAAGACCGAGACCAAGTCGAGACCGGAGGGGAAAAAAACATTAGTGTTGAAGCTAAGCAATAACTTGTCAAATGTTGTTTTGCATTTGCCTGCCTATCTCTGCTGATTTTGAAGTCTCCAAATGAACCCATTCTGCAACTTTTAAATACATAATTATATTTTTAAAAACGAAATTATAGGCTTAAGTGCAGGATCCGAAAGTTGGTCGTTTTTGTCGCTATGGTTACACACACACACACACACACACACACACACACCATTGGCGGTGCGCTCAAAGTCATCTGTCAGTTGTGCAGTTACCCAAAATCTCCTGAAGGTAAAACCCATCATGTCACTGATATGTGTTTTACTAAATATTAATATATCAAAAACTGTACATGATATGTGTTTTTTAAATCAAGTGATCAAAGTGCTCGTTGCCGCTGCGATCAGTGGCGCGGATACAGTGTTTTCTCGCGTGGCTCGCGCGCACCGCACTGTCTTCACTCGGACGCGCGCTTCAATACGTTGCGGATATCGTCGTGGATATTGTAGTATTGTATTGCTCAATCCCCTGACCACTATGTCGGTCTGAGACAGCGAGACCTAGACAAGACCGGGAGGTCCGAGACCAAGACAAGACCGAGACCAAAGACCGTCAAGGCCGTGACAAGACCGAGACCACGTAAAAGTGGTCTCGAGACCGGTCTCGAGACATACATCACTACTGAATTCTGAAAAGACAGAGATTCTAATTATTGGACAAAAAACTTCCACACGTAATAACCTAGAATACTGTCTAACACTTGATGGCTGCTCTGTTAAGTCTTTGTCGTCGGTTAGGAACCTGGGTGTGCTCTTTGATAGCAACCTTTCTTTTGAAAGCCACGTGTTTAGTATCTGTAAAACTGCATTTTTCCATCTTAAAAATATATCTAAAATACGCCATATGCTCTCATTGGGAAATGCGGAACAATTAGTTCATGCGTTCATGACCTCAAGGCTAGACTATTGTAATGCTCTACTGGGTGGTTGCCCTGCACGCTTAATAAATAAACTACAGCTAGTTCAAAACGCAGCAGCTCGAGTTCTTACCAGAACCAGGAAATATGACCATATTAGCCCGGTTCTGTCAACACTGCATTGGCTCCCTATTAAACATCGTATAAATTTTAAAATATTGTTGATTACTTACAAAGCACTAAATGGTTTAGCTCCGCAGTACTTGAGCGAGCTCTTAACGCATTATATTCCTTCACGCCTATTGCGATCTCAAAATTCCGGCCAGTTGATAATACCTAGAATATCTAAATCGACTGCTGGCGGTAGATCCTTTTCCTATTTAGCACCAAAACTTTGGAACAGTCTTCCTACCATTGTCCGGGAAGCAGACACACTCTGTCAGTTCAAAGCTAGACTAAAAACACATCTCTTTGACCTAGCATACACATAATACATTATAGACTTCTATAATTCAATGTTAGGCTGCATAGATTAGGTCAGTCGGAACTGGGAACACTTCCCTTAAATCTTGATGTACTCGTTACATCATAAGAATGGCATCTACGCTAATATTAGTGTCTTTGTTTATCCCGAGGTTTTCCCGCAGCCTGCCGGATCCAGGCCGTATCCAGATCTGACGAAGGAGATTCGCCTGGACCCGATGACAATGCAGTGATGAAGTGTCAACTATCCTCTCCCAATGGAGGATCCCTTTCCCACTCTACAGATAAAGCGTTGTGAATTTCGGTTTGCGTACCCCGAAGTGATCAAATAAAACAAAATTCTGTATCAAAATTTATAGGCAAGACAAGTAGTTTGTTTAGGCATGGGTTGTATGGAATTACAAACCTGCGCACATATTTTCAAAAGCACATAACTATAGAATCAATTCTGAATGTGCATGTGAACGCCGTCAGCGTTAATCACAGGTTCGCGTTTAAAGTCTGATCATTTCGACGGAGGTGAATCAATCAAAATTAACTTTAGCTGGAAATAACATTATTCAAGAACCGCTATAAAACCAAAACAATCTCTGTTACCTTAA